AGGAAAGGGAGATGGGAATGAAAAATAAAAAGAGACAAGAAAGAAATGTTATTATTATACACTATGTGGCTATGCAATGAATAATTTTTACTAGCCAGAGTTACATATTAGTTTATGAAATTAATTACACATTATTTTATGAAAAGTGATAGAATTAGATTGGCAAGATAGCAGATAGAAGTGCTCAGTGGGTTAAGCTTTCAGCCCACGTGGAACATAAAAGATAATACACAATAAATATAGTCAACAGATCAGGAAATAACAGCATAAAAATATTATTTAAAAATATGGAGTTGGGACTTCCCCGGCAGTCCAGTGGTTAAGACTCCGTGCTTCCACTGCAGGGGGCATGGGTTTGACCCCTGGTTGGGGAACTAAGATCCCTCATGCCGTGTGGCATGAAAAATAATAATAATAAAAAAAAATGTAAAAAAAATATGGAGGTAATAAGGAAAAACTGCTAAAGTAATTGAAAGTGGTTGCCTCTGGGGAAGGGACTGAAAGAAAGGATGTGGAGAAGGGAGATGCTACTTCTTATTTTATGTTTTGTAATATTTGTGACATTTAAAATACATTGTACATATATTAATTTAATGGAAATAAAGGAGAATGCAATTACCATAAGGAGTGGGGTGGGGGCACTATAGCACGCCGATTGTTTTTTGCCTGGGTCCCAAATTTATAGCCATTTGTTTCTAAATGAATACTTTGTTGTTTACTTGTAACTGAAACTAATTAAACTTTCAATACGAGATTGAGATCCCTAGAGCTTTATGAGTGAAGATTGGAGAAATTTCTTCTTTTATATTTAAATACCAATAACACATCACTAGGTTTTTTTTTCAAAGTTGAGAAAATTTTAGGGAATTAGAATAATTAATTTTATTGGCTTTTAAGCCATTTCTTGAACTGGAAATTAAATTTGTAATGAAGTTTTCTAAATTCAAAGTTAGAAAAAAGCAAATGTATGACTTTTTTTCTTTAATAACATATGTATATAACTATTGTTTTCAGTTCAGTGAGTGGTGTCTTTAAGCTCAACAGTGGCTTCTCCTTCCTAAAAAGGAAAAACCAAAAAAATCTTTAAATTCAGGAGGGGAAAAAAGCAAATTATAAGCTGGTTATTTATAATATGTCATAAATATACGTGTATAATTAAATCATATAAAAGGAGCTAATTTAGTTAATTTAAGAACATTTTTGTGGGGGGAATATTTCACATGGTCTGCCAAGAGCTACAGTCTATTGAAACAGGTCTATTACTGCTTGTTCCTGAAAAATCCACATCAAAAGGGAGGGACTGTAAAATTACCTTCCTGTTAGGAACAGCATACAACTGTCTTTCTTGAAAAGGCCTGCAGAGTACTTAAAATAAAATTAAGGTGCCACTGTTTTATGTTATGTCTACTGACATTACCTCTATTCTTTCTAACTGACCACAGATGCAAAGGATGCTATGGACCAGACCTTAAATAGTAAGTCTGAAGCCCTCAGAGCCAGGAAAGGAGTAAACCTTCAGACCTAGCATAAAGAAAAAAATGTTGCCAGCCATTCCATTTCTACAGGGATCAAGCCATTAGCCACTGTCACCCACCAACAACGCGCCCTGAGGGGACTTCAGGATGGAGAAAAACAGGAAGCATTCTGCATTTTGCCCCTAGATAGTTAAGATGCGTATATAAGGAAAAACATCCTGGCCCCTATATAGTTAAGAAGCACATCTACAGAAAAATTTCAAGAACCCCAGATTCTTGTATCTTCCCATTCATAGAAAAGTATTAAAATAATTAACTTGAGATGTCTGTTCTTTGTGATTAGCAGTAATACTTTTATGTTTGACTACATGTTTTTTTTTTTCCAGCAAAAAATTCACATATATCCTGGCTCTTCCTTTATCTCTTTGGAGCAATTCCCCAATTTGGAGTTATCTGAGAGGCTGTCTCCTGGGCTATGATCCACAGTAAGTTCTCTGAATACAACTCAACTCACTTTACATTGTACGTTTTTCTTTTGGTCAATGACAGTCATATTCCTTTGAGATTTTCCAGCAGGGAGGAGGAATCAGCCTGCATAGATTACTTGTTATTGTCTTTTTAACTTGTTTGTTAATACCAGTCAGGGCTACTATTTAGTCAGTGCTTATGAAGGCCAGGCCCTGTACCACATGGTCTGTAGAGGTGAGTTTAATGCACTATTAGTCCCCGTTTTGCAGATGATGAAACTGAGGCTCAGAGGTCACCCAGCAAGTTCTTGGTGGAGTTAAAATTTACAACTTTATGGCTCCAGAGGCTCAGGCTTCTACTGTGCTTTTGGGGTACCTTGGGCACAGTCTACAAATCCTCCAGTTATTAAGTCACATTCTCTCTTGGCCAGGCTGATGTTAATATTGTCACAGAATCCTCCCACGTTGGCATCCATTTGGAAAAAATGAGTTTAGGATTTGGGAGGCCTGGATCCTACTACCAGCTCTGCCTGTAACCCAGTGGTGCCTGATGAGGGATCTCATCTTCCTGAGCTCCTCCTAAAAGGTGAGGAGACCTTGCAGTCCCAGCAGGCTCAAACGTAGGTAGATTTCACATCTTCCCCCTCCCCAGAAGCTGCCTGGCTCTTCCCAGCATATAGGAATCTCTCAGCACGCAAGTAATCTCCCAGGGCAAGAAATGGGGTCAGAGTGACCACGCCAGCCAACAGTGAACCTAACTAGACAGTCTTGGTGAGATCCTTGGCTTCTCATGAATCATAGGCTGCCACCAAGCAGGTGGCTGCACTGGTCTGATACTGCTTATGCTTTTTTTTTTTTTTTTTTGCGGTACGCGGGCCTCTCACTGTTGTGGCCTCTCCCGTTGCGGAGCACAGGCTCTGGACGCGTAGCGGCCATGGCTCACGGGCCCAGCCGCTCTGCGGCCTGTGGGATCTTCCCAGACCAGGGCACGAACCTGTGTCCCCTGCATCGGCAGGCGGACTCTCAACCACTGCGCCACCAGGGAAGCCCTTTTGTTTTTCTTTTTAATACTGTTATTTAAAAAATTTTAGTTAGAGCCAATTCTCATTACTTTCCATGGTTCTGAATAGGGCCTGGTCCATTATTTCTCTTCCTCTAAACGCTGGCAGCTGAGATTCTAGGAGCTTCTGTTACTCACCCGGGCCCTTGGACTCTTTAATCAATAGAAGTTGGTAAGAGGTCAGAGGAGAATTTCAGGCAAGGCTTTATTGGGGCTGGAGCTGCAGCATCAGGGAGCAAAAGCAAGAAACAGGTACCCCTGGGCTTCCCTGGTGGCGCAGTGGTTGAGAGTCCGCCTGCCGATGCAGCGGACACGGCTTCGTGCCCCAGTACGGGAAGATCCCACATGCCGCGGAGCAGCTGGGCCCGTGAGCCATGGCCGCTGAACCTGCGCGTCCGGAGCCGGTGCTCCACAACGGGAGAGGCCGCAACAGTGAGAGGCCCGCGTACCACAAAAAAAAAAAAAAGAAACAGGTACCCTTGCCAGCTCTCGGAGTGAAGCTGCTTGGGTCCTTAAATGGGGTAACAACAGGGATGGAGGGGTGGGTTTGGCAGGAGGCATACATTACGTGGTCTGTCCACCTCTTTGGTGGTGCAGTGGACAGGATCATGCACAGTACCATGCTTTAGCTCCTGGCACCTCAACAACTTGTAGTTTGTTCCTGGTCTTTTTGTATCCAATTGCTCAGCTTTGCCTCAACTGTGCATGTGTGCAGTTAGTTTTAGTCACTTATAATTTTTTGTATCCTATTGCTCAAGGAGACGTTTGTCCAGGTGCAAGCACTCTTGTAGAGGATCCCAGTTCCCAGCCTGCCTCAATTCTAGGAGATCTTGTGCTGCTCCTAATCCATGGATTGGTTTCCATGCGACTTTCCTCTTAGTCTCCACCTCCTAAACTGCTCTCAAAGACACTACTTTGCCAAAGGCTTAAGGTCAAGCTTTGTATCATGCCCGAGGGGAATCAGACACGTGGATTCCAGTCCCAGTATTGCTTCTTCAGCTTTGCTGTTAAGCTTAGGGCAAGTTATTTAACCTGTGTGGGATTCAGTTGCCTCATTTCTAAAATATACACAGTAATGCTTATTTTAAGGAGTAAAAAGGCCTTGGCACAAAGTTTGTAGTAACAGAAATTCCTCTTCTTGGGGAAGTGGCCGCGAGGAGAGAAGATTTGGGTAGTGAGATAAACTAGGGGCACCCTCTCTGCCTTCTGCATGTAACAAACAAATATAGGGAACCGTTTTTTAGTGGAGTTGGGCGAGAGGAAGTAGGGATGCAAACCAAGTCCCTGGGCCAGGATGCGCTCTTACGCGGGTGGTGGAGGAGAGATTAGAAAATAGATCAATATCCAGGGAAGCACAGAAAGGGTTCTCCCAGGATCCCCCAAGTGCCATGGTAACGTCAGGGCAGAACAGCCAAGCCCAGGGATTCGAAGCTTCGGTCGAGGGAACTTTCCCAAAAGTTGAGAAATTTTCTTGGCAGATGAGGGAGATAAAGGGATTTCTGGAACAGGGATCCCGTGGATAACCCAGTTTGGCGCGAGGCGCAGCACAGACCAGCACCCGGCCACCCCTATTGTGCCTGTGCAGTGCAGGACACTCAGAATCGCTCACTAAAGGCTCCAAGGTTTATTGGAGTCAGCAATCAGCTCTTCCACCACAGCCGGGGACTAGGGGCGCCGCGCCCTCCTGGGTCGGGGACCGAGCGCCGCCAGGCCGTCGTAGGAGCCCGGTAATACCTGGCCGGCGCGTTGGAGGACAGCCTTCGCAGTCCAGCACTGCACCGGGAAGTGATGACCACCGCCCACCGCCTGACGCCAGCGGAAGCGAGAGCCGGGCGCTGGCGGGCTCGGAGGCGGTGCGCCCGGGAAGGGGCGGGCACGGGGCGGGGCTGCGGGCGGCCGCCGCGGCTGGAGCGAGCGAGTGGGGCGGGGCCTGGGGTGGCGGGGCGGGGTTTGGCGGCAGTTGTTTTTACCAAGGCCTCAGTGCATCGCGTTCAGCTGGGGCTACGCCGCGTGGAGGCGTGAGCGGGTTCGCAGAGGGACGCTTGAGGCCGGAGGGAGCCAGGAGGGCCAGAGGGAAGCTGGGAGCCGGCAAGCGCGCTGGTGGTGGTCGGCTGCCACGATGTCAGCGCAGTGCTGTGCGGGCCAGGTGAGCGGGGAGAGACAGGTCGGGAGACCGGGCCAGGAACCGAGGCAACGCGGGCTTCTCTGGGTGCACGTCCCAGCTCCGCCGCCGAAAGTGGGGTGGGTGACCCTGCGCCGCCTGGGTGAGTGCTCCGGGCCGGAGCGCGGCGCTCGGCCTTCGGGGAAAACCGTGTGCCGCGGCAGGCGGGCCAGAGGGACACGGGGAAGCCCTAGAGGCTACCCCGAGGTCTTCCCGTTCGGCCTTAGGAACTTCGCTTAGGGCGGGGCGGGCAGGGTTCGGGCGGAGGATCCCGACTATTTCAGGAGCGTGTCGCCTCCTCCCCAGGACACAAGTGTGTGGTGCTCAGCTCCGTAGGCCACCTGGCTCTGCCAACCCGATGAACCCAGGAGAAGACGTGGGTTTGGGCAGCCACTCCTTTTCCATGCCCTGAACGGGTCGTATGTGGCCCAGACGAGTTGCGCTTGACATCTCGCCAGACTCTGGAGCATTGGCTCTTTTTCTTCGAGAAAGTCTGGAAGACTGCTTTCCAAACCGCTGTGCTCAGGTCTGGGCGCTGGGAAGACTCAGCCCTGCTTCCTGAGTCTCCCGACCCAACCCTGGCTGGACCCAAACGCGGCTGACTGGGTAGAGCGCGAGCCTGAAGCCATCCCTCCTTTCAGCTGAACTTGCCCGAGCCTGTTTTGTAACTCTCGCCTGTTTAACTCATGAGATCTTAAAACACCTGTGTCCGCTTGGGATGGGCGTCTTCTACCGGTTAGTAGTGCAGCAGGGCAGAATTAGTAGTTTTTAACCTTTAATGTTGATTTCACTCCTTCCTGCAGAGTTAGAAAAAAAAAGAAGTAGGTAAAGCCTTCCGCACGTCGCGCTCCCTCCTTCCTAGCCGTGTTGATTATCGGCATTTCTGTACAGTTTTTAATGGTGCGTTTTCTCAAATGAGTCTAACTCCGGAGGGCATATCGGGCTTTTTGCTTCATAATACATTCAGCCTTGCGACAATCAGAGGCCAGCCCGTAACTGATGCAGGGGTTAAGCTGTGGGTTTCTCTAACCCGCCGATTACACTGGTAGATAATCCGTCCTCTTTGCAGTGGCCGTGTGAAGTTATCATTGGTTTTTGAGGTCTAATACTGTACTTGGCATGCATTCAAGCTGGCCTTTGCAGAGATGAGGAAATTGAGGTTTTTAACTTGAGGTGGAATGCCTTGCCCTGAGTCAGGCAAGGCGACAGGAGGACATTTAATACCTTCTCAGGGCTTTGGAGACCAAAGTGGATGGGAAAAGGCTGTTTTCAGAATATTCCAAATCTCAACAAAGCTTTGCAAATCGTTCATTGTTGTTATTTTGAGATAGTTCTAATTTGATGTGACACTTCATTATATAGTGATTACGTTACAGATATTTCAGGGCACCTGTTCTCCAGTCCCTTGAGGTTTTCTGTGGCTCCCAGCAGGTGATTTAGGGTTCTGAAAATTATTGCCAGTACTCAAGTGGGTCTTATAAAAGAATTATTGGTATGGTTGATATTTTGGCAGGGTTTCATGCCTTGTTTCTTTTTGTTTGTTTTAAAGTGAGAACTTTTAAAAATTATTTATTTATTTTTTGGCTGCGTTGGGTCTTCGTTGCTGCACACGGGCTTTCTCTAGTTTTGTGAGCGAGGCCTACTCTTCACTGAGGTGCGCGGGCTTCTCATTGCGGTGGCTTCTCTTGTTGTGAAGCACAGGCTTCAGTAGTTGCAGCACGCGGGCTCAGTAGTTGTGGCGCACGGGCTTAGTTGCTCTGCGGCATGTGGGATCTTCTCGGACCAGGGCTCGAACCCATGTCCCCTGCATTGGCAGGTGGATTCTTAACCACTGCGCCATCAGGGAAGTCCTTGTGACTTGTTTCTGAAATCCCCCTCTCAGGACTTTGGAAAGAACCAAATCCTGGCCGTTCATCACAGGAAAATTAACTTCTGCTTTCTAGGGACTGCTTGAGGCTTCACTGTGGTGGCTCTCAACACAGGGAGGGGGTGATGACACTATAATTTCGTATGAATGGGGCTGTTAAGTTTGCATTTAAAAAAAAATGCAGCACTGTCAGAAGATATCTAAGTCTGTGAATCCTTTGAAAAAAAATTTTGAGCACCTGTGCATTGTTTTTACCTACATCACTTATGACATCAGTGTACGGGTTGTTTGTTTTGTTTTTACCCCCGCACCAGCCAGTTCCCCAGCTCCCCAGATAGTAACTGGCTGTACAACAATTCAATTCTGACACTACCTGGAGTTAGTATCCCACAGGTTAGGGGTCCGCCCTCCTCCCCCTCCCCTCCCCCGCACACTCCAGCTGCCAATCCCAAGTCTTCTGGGCCTCCCACACCGGGATGGAAGACCGAATAAATATTTCTGATCATATCACAATATCACAGCACCTCCTGTGTGCCAAGAGCTGGAGATACGGCAGTGAGCCAGGCAAACGTCATCTCTGCCCTCAGTGACTGGGGTGGGGCAGCATTTCATAAGCATGGAAGCAGCGAAACCAGTACCAGCAAGTGCTGGTACTGCCACAGGTCCTGGTGGGAGAGTGGCTTTGGGTAGGGTTGCTGGGGAAGTCTGTCTGAGAAGATGCCCTGGGAATTGAGACTGATAAAGGAGGAGAGGCACCCACGTCAGGGCCTGGGTAGGGGGTCTTACAAGGTGTTGGAGGAACAGAAGTGGTCACCTTGGGTGCTGTGAAGACTTGACTCTCAGGGACTGGCGTGGAGGGAGAGCAGTCAGAGCTGGCCACCCGGTGAATACTTTTTTTTTTTTTCTTTGCGGTACGCGGGCCTCTCACTGCTGTGGCCTCTCCCATTGCGGAGCACAGGCTCCGGACGCGCAGGCTCAGCGGCCATGGCTCACGGGCCCAGCCGCTCCGCGGCATGTGGGATCTTCCCGGGCCGGGGCACAAACCCATATCCCCTGCATCAGCAGGCAGACTCTCAACCACTGCGCCAGCAGGGAAGCTCCCCGGTGAATACTTTTAAGCTGCCTCCTCCTGCGTGTGAGCAGTGGTCTGGGCTTCCGCCGTGAGCCCGAATTCTTCTTGATGAAGCTTGAATCCTGGCAGCCTGCTGTTGCCCTAGGCCAAGGAGGGGAGAGTGTGGTACCTTAATTTAGGGCATCGTGGTGCTTACGGTGGGGCATCATTGGCTTCTGGACATATTGTAGAGGTAGAGCTGGACTTTTACATGGGTTAGAAGTGGGGTGTGGGAATGAGAGAGATTCGGTTTATGACCCGAGCAACTGCATAGGTGATAGTGCCTCACTGAGGTGAGGTAGGAGGCTTGAAGGGAGGAAGACATTTGGCAAGGAAAACCCATAGTTTTCTTCTGGCTCTGTTACATTTGAGATGCCTATTATAAATTAAATAGAGATGGCAAGTCATCGGTTGGATTTTTAAGTTGGGAGAAGTTTGAGGTTGGAGATAGAAATTTGGGGGACTTTAACTGATACTGTCAGAAACAATGTGTAACCCAGAAAAGAGCCTGGGCTTTGGACTCAGGTCTGGGTTTGAATTGGGAAATCTGGACACGGAGAGGTGGTGTGACTGTGCATGTCACTTACCCTCAATTAACCCCAGTTTTCCTCCGAGGTTGAATGGGTGTGATAATACCTCCTAGGGTTATTATGAGTATTACATGGGATAATGTCTCTAGTATAGGGTTTGGCACAGAGTAAGGAACCCCCAAAATCTTAGTGACCATTATCCACCTCTACCTGGACAGTCTCCGGGTCATTTTATCTTTGCATTGACCCTGATATACTTACTTAGCTTTTGCTTAGGCTGTTGGCTGATCGATGCTAATGGAAGCAGAGATCACAGGACAGTGGTCAGTCGACACCTTCTGGGTACCCAGCACTGTGGTAAGGCCCCTGGGCATTGGGTGATTAACAAAGTGCATCCTTGCTCTCCTGGAACTTAAGGGCTAGCTGGGGATTGGAAGTGTGGGGGAAGCTCACTACAGAAAGTGACAGGACACCCTGTCAGAGGTGAAATGAGATGTGTAATTGGAAGATCTAGACAGCCCGTCAAGGCAATTTGAGAGTAAGGCTTGGCAGGGTTTACTCCAGGCAAGTATAAGCATTAATGATAATAGTAACAATAGCTGAAGCTTATTTCATGCTCACAAGTGTGCTGTTTTTAACCTACGTTATATCGCTCATTCTCCACAGCAACCCTGCGGGGTCGGGGAATGTTCTAATTGGCCTCCTTTTGCAGGTGAGGCAACTGAAGTGCAGAGAGATAAATTCACTTGACTGATATTTACATGGTGGTGGAGCCAGGCCTTCCACACTGGTCCACCTGACTCAAGTTGGAGCTCCTAACTGGGAAACTGTTATTCCTTATTATTCTAAATACAGTATGAATAAATCATGAGGAACTGTTGCCCATTGTTGTTGCTTATAATGGCCCTAAGGCAGCTTTGAATGCATAGCTGTGAGGCTGTCTTGGTAGATATTGGTGGTTGCCAGGAGTTACCAGTGGGTGGGGTTTAGCTTCTTCCTCACAGTCTGGTCCAGGTTATAAAGACAGCAAGTCTCAGACCAAATTCTGTCACTTGTGCGGGCATTTATTGGCAGGCAGACACAGCACAGTTACACAGCCTGATCTGCGGCTTCACGAAGTTCCAGCTCTTTGCCCTTCTTGGTGCACTGACACGCAACTTGCATGTTCCCCTGAGGCAGATGTGACAGCCTTCTAGAAGGAAGAACTTGACCAAGACTGCTGAAACACAGGACCTCATGGATGGATCAAGCCCAGGGTACCACTCTCAGGCAGAACACTCCTTGTTCTTGTAGCCGGCTCATATAAGGGTGGGAATGCCTACGCCAGGGTGTTTCCAGCCAGATTGTATTACTTGATCCCTGAGATTTTCCCCAACGAAAGCAAATTTCTAACGTCTTTTATATTAATTGATTGACAAAGCCACAGAATGCCACCAGGGGCTGTCCACTGTCAAAGATAAATAAAGCTGGACGTTAG